AAACATACATAATAAGGTGATTTGAACAATGTTTTAAAAGATTAATATCTCTTGTATCGTCACTGAAACCTTTCATCGTGAACTATGCTTTAAAGGGAGCACGCTACCGCTCTACTAAAACACCTGTGCACAAATATATCAGTTTTGTCGTTCACATCTGGTACATCATCACTTGTTATTGTATTACATCCGCTTTACAATTGCTTGTTTGTAGATATTAAACTGTTCTGTTAAACTTTCAATATGACTGTCCTACGGTAAGTTCTTTCTATTCTACATTAATTCATTTAGTTATTTAAACAATTTAACTTTGTTGTGTGCTTCTGAATTACTGAATAGGTGTTGCTTGAGAAGTATTGATATTCTGTTATGAAGGGGGTATATGGTTGATCTTCAGACTTTCTTCCCAAATGCTTTAACGCCACTCTACTGGCTCCTGAACTAATAATCGTCTGTGATTTTATCCCTGAGAGTCCCTATATGACCCCAGTGTTTCAGGTCAAATCCCCGAGATAAATGAAGTGTTTGTTTGCAAAACTGAACGCCAAATTTGAGTTTTTAGATATTACTTATTTTCGATTATGCAAAATTCATTTTGTGATATTTTACAAGAATGTTCTGAAATTTTAATTTTGAAATTGATTTATGGCGAATATGTTTGAAAATGTTTGCTTAATCTGAATATTAATAAACTATAAAACGAAAATAGGGATTTGTCATGGTCAAATTAGACACATTGTAATGTTTCTTGACTCGTCTTATGAAATTTACTAGGCCATCATGATCTTTTGCAGGTAAGCCCCACTAGCTAAAAAATCAACTCTGTAGGCGGTCGCCATAAGCTTGGTATAATATTGTTAGGTATTCCAGAACCATAAAAGCACCATAAAAACTGTTATCTAAAAATTTACCACGTGTGGCGAATAGACACTCTTATTTTAGATTTTTTTTTTCACAAAAAACATGGCTGAGCAGCTTAAAGAACATTACGATAGATAGGTCTAATGACTATTTTCTTTAATTTCTATACATTTTTCCGAATAAAACAGTTTATTATACCAGTTTCACGCTTAGCTTATTTTAAACAGTGTATAGGCCTGATGGCTGTGTCTGATCTGAGACCTATCAATGACTTAAAACATTTTGAGAGAAACGGATTTTGCGGTGCAAATATATTCCCTTTATTTGCATTTCCCAAATTCCATAGAAATATGTATTGATGTTGGATAAAGCGTAATCTAAAGACAAAATACGAAAACTGAAAACAGAACACGAAGTTGAGAAATGACATCATCACGATGGTAGTGATGAAACTGATGTTATTTTGCAGTTTTGGAAACATTCTTCATTGCACACTTACTGGTGATGTTATACTGACATAAATATTGAATAATAAATCTCTATAAACACTTTCTCTACTCACATGTTATAGCCCTATAAATATTAGTCAGCATGTTTTTTTTTACTATTTAGGCCCTTATTCAACAGAGATAACACCGTATGACATGACATAACCTGTGGATGTGATGTATACAGTTCTTTAGTTGTTACCTTATGTTACCTGTTCCAATCATCTCCTCATTATATATTTCATTGTTGATTGTTATTTTGTTAATAGTTTTTATTTACATTCTATATTTATGAATTCAGCTGATGAGTTTGAAAAAAAAACCGTTGTGGTTTTTTATTTCCTTCCACACGATATCTATATTGCAGAATCAACATAACTTGTTAGCTGTTAATGATAAATGCTATCTGAAATCGAGATGGTAATTCAGCAAGTTAACCATAGATTCAGATACAGGATAAAACCCAAACTTGCCTAATGTTAACCAAAGTTAATCCTAATCCAAAGTTAAAAGGCCTTTATCAAATCTATTCATGACCGGCTGAAATATTCAGTTTGATCTGTGACGGCGATAATGCATTTAGCAAGTGGTCGTATCCGGTGGTTTATCTGTCCTATATCAGTACGATTATCGATATACATAATTTTGCGAAAAAAAATGACGTTATGGATATGGACCATTTTCCAAAAATATTATTTCAAACTATTTTTAACTTAAAACTAATTGAATGAGATTTAGAATTTTTTTCTCAGCAAATGTACCTTGTCACTAACATAAAACTGGAGCAGATATCGGTGACAAATAATTGCCTTTTACTCAAAACGTAAAATTTGTATAATAAAGACCATTTTGCAAATAAACTCTGCAATTTTTTCAATCTTATTAGCCTCTCCAGTCCAGGGTACTAACTGAAGAGGACCTTGCATAGGTATCTGCTTCAAGACTTAAAATAGGTGTGAGTCTCTCAGGTCTTAAGTTCGGTTGAAAAGATTCGAACATGTACAGTATTTTTCCTTTCAGACATTTGATAGTGTGCTCAGTAGTTTTGTGGCATACCCGCTCTGTTTGTGGTATAACATCGTCCCTTTCTAAGATACGTCAGTTAGTGTTGGCTGAAGAAGCTATTATACCTATTGTCAAAGGCTATTGTGATAAAGCAGAACAACAAGTCTTAACTTTGAAGAGGTCAGAAAGAAAGAAATTAATCACAATTTTATAATAACAACTTAGGCTCTCAGAAATCCTCTTTTCTAGCTGATCCTTGGTAAAACCTTTGAGCATTGATCTACCCCGGATTATCCGTACACATTTACAACTATGACATATCAAAGCCTCGAGATTCTACACCCC